GTGGTCAATCGTGTCAAATGCTGCACTCAGGTCTAGCAATACCAAAAGAGTAACTCGTTGATTGTCCATTGCAGCTAGTATGTCGTTCTGTATCTTCAATAGGGCAGTCTCTGTGCTATGACCAAGTCGATAGGCTGACTGGAGGATGGGATACAAACCCGACTGAGTAACGTGATCGGTTGTCTGATCATAAACTGCACTTTCAACCAATTTAGAGAGGTATTGCAGATTACTCACAGGTCTTAAATTGGATAAGGAAGTCCCTTGCTTGGTCTTCTTCAGTCTTGGATCCACAAGGGCCGTTTTCCAATCAGATGGAAAGTGTCCCAAGGAAAGTGAAGAATTCACGACATTAGTGATGATGGGGAGAAGCATATCGGACATGCCGACTACTAAATTGGTCGGCATAGGATCAAGTTGACAGCTTTTCTTCGATGATCTACTGACCAGCTTCCTTATATCTTCCACAGAATACGTATTGAAATGATCAAGTTTCCTATCGCCTGTAAACACTCTATCCTCAGCCACCGCCCCAGGATGAAGAGTACATGCATCAAGCTCTGCCCGAATCTTTGCAATCTTACGGTCGAAAAACCGCTCGATATCGTTGGCTAAGATTGAGTTGTCCGTGTATTCTGGAAAACACAACTCATTCCTAGGAAGTAACAATGATCGAGTGGCCCTGAATAGCTTTCCTTGGTTTTCACTATTGTCGTTCACAAAGTCTGAGTAGAGAGCATGCTTAGCCCGTGTACTTAAATAAGTAACGTGGTTCTTGAGTTTCTTGAATGCCAACAAATCTTCCTGTGATCGTGTTCTTCTCCATCTCCGTTCTGCTTTCCGGCGTCGCCTTTTTGCCTCGGCTATCTCACTGGTATACCAGGGTACCATGGGCCTAGCCCGCACTGTTTTGGTTTTTAAAGGTGCGTGACGATCAAGAACTTGAGAGAGTGTGGTCGTGTAATCCTCTACAAGTACATCCAAATCCAGTGGGGTGATGGGATCGCTATTACCTCGATCACATAGCCCTGTAAGTACTACATCGTTCGATAGGCTCTCAGCGTCCAAGGATTTAGTCATGCATGCCCATTGCCAAATTTTCAACTCAGAAGAAGACAATTCTTGGACAGTTTAGGTTACTCTCTGTAATCCCAAAGGGCAGCAGCAAACACATTTAATGCTTTATATTCACACCACCATTTCTTAAAGGGCTGGCAGAGAAATAAAAATATTTGGTTGTTGAGTTCTAGACTTCTCTTTTCAGGCTACATTCGGAGTATCCCTTTGAATAGAGCTCTTTGGGTCTACCAGAAATATTACAGGAGATTACACCACCATAATGTGCTCTAACAGCTGACATGCAGCTGATCTCTAATGGCACTTTCATCACACCTTTATCACACTATGATTATTTGATAAGCTGTCATTGCAGACATTTTGACTTTCCCATCGATTTTTTTCTGATCACTTGAATTTTGTTTTTTTTTTCCTTGTTCGTTTGTGCACCAAACACCCCATTCTACACTTACTTTATTCATAAGTTGCAGCATGGCGGAGAAAAAACAAAACAAGACAAACATTAAAAAAAGAATCTGAATATGAATTCTTCCTCAAGAATCATTTAAAGCAAATACACGTGATCGTTATTTTACCGAAGGAAAAAAGCCTTTGCAAATCGGGGGTATTACGTAGTATGCTCTATTAAGTAAATTAACAAACCAAACCTCACGCGCCTTTGATATTAGCGGAACTCGCAGAGCGTAGCCCCATAATGATACAAAATAGTAGTAACCCATCCAGCCGAAAAATTTGGACTTACGACCGTTCGACCATACGACCGTACGACCGACCGCACAAGATGCTACTTTTAACATGCGTGGTCAACTGTACCGCGGGCAAACCAACGGCACGGCTTTGTCCAGTAGTCTAGTGGTCAGTGCACTGAGCTCCGAGTCGGACGACCCGGTTTCTAGTCCTGACCGGGGCAAGGCGTTCTGACCTTAAGACGTGCGGGAAAAAAAAAATGCGAGCTCCGCTTTTAGGCTTGGTTAAATCTATATATTAGTCTTTCATTCTAGGTTTAACATAACTTTCAAATGGGGCAATTTTTCAGTCAGGGGTACGATCATTACGAGCAATGCAATGCAGGTGTAGTTTTTCTTCAAAACACTTTTTGGTCATTTTGGTTTTTTTTTCCTTTGTCAAATCAAAAGCATTTCAGGGAATCAAACCTAACACCTAAGAACTATTCACCGAAGTGGCAACGATTACCAAATGTTCAGAGGCAAATCCAGCATGAGTTGCTCGGAGGTGGATAACAAAGGATATTCGGCGTTTGAGTAGCTAATCAGGGCGCACATTCATCTTTTTGTGCTATATTATGTCATTATTTTAATGTATACTGAAATAGCTATTCACCTCAGCTCACTAAATATCCAGCACCAGCCACTGACACCGACGTGAGTAGTTGTTAATTATTCAACGTTTCTCAGCACTGAACGTAATTATGGTAAACATATATTGCCGACCGTTAAGAAGCCTTTTGGTTGGGGGCTAGCTGAACTGTCAAACAAAGTGACCTGCAACTGTAAATTCACACTTGTTTAATGGTTGGATTGTAGCACAACTTGTTAGGCTTAACTTGACAAATTAACTGTTCAGCTGGTAACTGTTCCACAGCCTACGAGGTTGTTGCTCACGCACTTTTAAAGTGACCGGGCTAGAACTGACAGGAGATTGACGGTCGGTCATCAAACTATCAACTGTTCTTAATTTGACAGAAAAGTAGAGATGGTAAGTTTTGAGCTCGGTGAAGAATTAAGAAAGATGTTTTTTCGTCTTGTCACAAGCGTGGGACAAAGAAAAAATTCTGAGTCCCCATGAGGAATCGAACCTCAGACCTTCGGATTTGCGCTCCGATGCTCTACCAATTTCTCTTAATTTCTTTCTTAATTTATGCTTACGTAATGCCTTGCATAGAAGGTTGTAACCAAACTGCGCTTGTGCAAAGAGATGATCAGCATACGTACATAGGACCAGATGCAGATGGTCATAACATTTTTCATGTTAAAATTTTTGTTGTCCTTCGCGGGTTTCCTGGCCATAATAATCCAACGTGAGCGATATAAAAATTGATAGATACAACTTTAACGAGATTCATTTAGCTTTAATATTAATACGTTTACATAAACACAGTTTAACCCTTTCACTCCCAAGATCTCATCAGAAATTCTCCTTACTCTCAGTCATTCAATTCTTATGATGTTACTTTGGAGTATTTGGTACTGGATCAATTAATAATCCCCTTGTTGATATTTTTCTTTAAACTCATTACTTGTCTGCTTCGTTATTGTATTGATATTGTAAGGAGAAATTTTGTCTCGGTCACTCATGGGAGTCAAAGGACTAAATGCAACTGCATAATAATAATCTATAAGAAGAGTAATCAGTTCGTATTTGGAGAAGGGCCTACCAATGGTAATGCCTACTTTCCATAAATTAACTGGAAACTAGTAAGTAATTCAGTCACATGGCTTCATCAGATCATAGCGCTAAATCTCTGATTTTAAAAATTAAAGAACAAATAGCCTGTAAAAGACTTGTACTTGGTCAAAACGGTGAAGACCGAAAATAATGACTCAGCTTCTTAATTAAAAGCACCTCCCAAAAAGGGAGGATTGTATTTTAAAAGCAAATCAGTTGTAGTATGTATATGAATTCGAAGTAGGTCATTTCCGTTTGCACTAAAACCATACCAAAAACTAATCTATAAATTACTGAAATTAAATTACTTATTCCATGCGTATATACTTACAAGCCAATCTCGAATTCAAAGCACTTCCTGTAATATAATAATTATACATTTGCGCTCTAAAATAAACATGAGCAATAATTCAACTACTTGTTTGATATCAACAGTCATCTTATACAACACCTAGAATATTCTCGTACACCGTTTTAATAGGCAAGTAAACTTTGACAACTTCAAAAACAAAATACCAATCCAATTAAATTATAGTAAGTTAATTCAAATTAGTTCAATAGATCCCGTAATATTATTCTTTAACACCATGCAAAGTTTGGCTCCCCACCCTTGCTTCCGAATCAGCTGAGCTGCAACGTCTGCGCGGAAGGAGAATCTTTCGAAGTTACTTATCATCTCTGACTGAAAATTATATTTCCCTGCCCCGATTTAGGACTGGTCTCTTTCTGTATCAAACGGAACACTAAAGCTAACCACACTCGAGGCCTACAGTGGCTTCACAGATTTCCTTACCGAAAATGTGATATCTCAAAACTACGCATGCTTTCTACAGAGACTTGAGTTTAATTATAAAGAGCCACGCTCTTTACCCAATGAGCTCCTGTTTGCATTCATCTTCTTTGAGCAGCTACCATCTATGGGTAGAAAAAGAACAACAGCATTGAAAACTTTATGAATTTTGAGAAATAAAGGTATCATGATACAGTTTCTTATAAACTCTAACTGTCCTCTTTACTGTTTCTTGGTTAATTAATTTGTTTTTGTTGCCTCAAGTACTTTTTTTACAGTATATTCAGTGGCTAAGAAAGTCAACAATTTTCATCCACAATGTGTAAAACTTCTAACAGACCACGCTGTGTTATCTTCTTTACGGGAAAAAAAATACAGAATCGAGTACAGAACCCTGTTATCACCTTTTTAGAGTTAGTCAGGTGAGTTGTCTGCGTTCAGCCTGAAACGCCAATTCCTCTGAAATCGCAAAAAGCTTGCAGCGGATCAAGTTTTGGAACAAAGCCAAATAATGGCGGCTGCCAAATCTAGTAGGAAACGGTCAAAAAATAAGACTTCTGTTGCCGAAATGTGTTGAGATTTGGCAGGGTTCGTGAGAGAGAGTCATACCGGAATAGAAAACGAAAATAAATAAAGTGTGTAAAATTTGATACCAAGAGGCACTTTAACAGTTTTACGAACGTTAAAGGAATATATAAAAACAACTTATATTTACATTGAGCGGCTTCTAGACTGAATCCGTCCCATGCAACTCTAGAGTGACATCATCCCCAATGAGAGTAAATGGCGCCCAGTACTTTACTTCCCTGAACTCTCCAGACTCTCTCATACATTTCATGGCTTGGTTAAGAGCTTCACTGACCCTCCTTCCTTTAACTACTTCTTTATAGAAATGTTCCATAAACTGGAAAGTAGCCTCGTCATCAATCCCCCAGAGGGACACCAAAACGGAACGAGCCCCAGCACCTAAGAATGCTCGAGCAATGCCAACTACCCCCTCAGCCTTTATTTGCCCATGAGCACTATGACAACAACTCAACACAACCAACCTTGCCCGCAGCTTAGCTTCTAACACATCTGTCATCGTCAACAAAAAGTCTTTCTCCTCAGGATGGAGGGATTCCCCAGCTGGGTTTGGGGCCAAAATAATTTCTCCTGTTTCCATTCCGCCATGGGCGGCGATGTGCACCAAAGCAACCGTAGATAGTCTCTTTAAGACTTCTCCTTTAGACGCCTTCTCTCCAATGAGGGGAACTGTTCCTAGGATTCTCCCAATCATCTCTACTTCTTTCTTTGCATATGGCAGCCGACAATACTTTGTTTCTTTATAGACAATTCCATTTAGGTACGGATCTCCCACTATAAGTGCGCCTTTCGTATTGTGGAAATCAGCTGGACAATCAGAAACTAATTTCAAAGTAGTCAAGGACGGAATCAATCTGATTCTTAAGGAATCGCACAGATACTCCTGCTCTGGGTTAATCAGTGCTGCATAGGGTATCAAACACAATGAACCCTCCGGAACGAGAATGAGGTCATCTCCATGGACCAGGTCAGCAATAGGAGCAATTATAAGGTCAAAAAACCTCTTTAAACTCTCCTTTGATGAAACAGGCTGAGAAACACTGCAAGAGGCCTTTTCAGTCATGCACTCCCCCTCACGCAACTGAACAAGCGAGCGATTTTCAATTTTGACGCCAGCACGTACACCAATTTCGTCCAAGGCAGTACTGTGTAGAGTCTTAAGGAAAGCTCTCACATCTTCTTCTGAAATATCTCCTACCTTTCTTCTCCTCAAGGTGACTTCTTCATCCTTTCTTATAACCCAGAAAATGATCTCTTGTTTATCAAGAGCTATGAAAACTGTTGTTGCAAGAATGGATCTAAAAGAGGAGCCACTTGACTTTCCTGAGGAATGAGACTGAGAGTATAACTCTTGACACCCATAATTTTCTTCCATGAGATCTTTTAAAGCCTGTGCCCGTCCACCCTCAGCAACTCGTAAGGCATCACGAACTTCACCTTGGCGTAGATGGAGACGCCACAAATTATTGTATACACTATTATACGTATCGCGGTAGCTAATTTTCCACTCGTCTTTTAACCGGAGATGAGCCCTAATTTCATTGAGCTTTGACAAACTGGAAATAAAGCAGTCAAGGGCACTCGAAAACGATCCTCGATCTTTAGACGTATCATTAAGCAGAAAGTATGCATAGCCAAGATTTCCATAAGCCCGTCCTTCTCCAGCTTTATCCCCCATTTCTTTTGCAATTTGTAGGTGACACTCATGGTACTCGATTGCCTTATGAAAATCGCCTAAGCTGTGATAGGCATTGCCAAGATTTCCATAAGCCCCTCCTTCTCCAGCTTTATCTCCCACTTCTTTTGCAATTTGTAGGTTACACTCATGGTACTCGATTGCCTTATGAAAACCGCCTAAGCTGTGATAGGCATTGCCAAGATTTCCATAAGCCCCTCCTTCTCCAGCTTTATTCCCCACCTCTTTTGAAATTTGTAGGCTACACTCATGGTACTCGATTGCCTTATGAAAATCGCCTAAGCTGTGATAGGCATTGCCAAGATTTCCATAAGCCCGTCCTTCTCCAGCTTTATCCCCCACTTCTTTTGCAATTTGTAGGTCACACTCATGGTACTCGATTGCCTTATGAAAATCGCCTAAGCTGTCATAGGCATTGCCAAGATTTCCATAAGCCCGTCCTTCTCCAGCTTTATCCCCCACCTCTTTTGCAATTTGTAGGCGACACTCATGGTACTCGATTGCCTTATGAAAATCACCTAAGCTGTGATAGGCATTGCCAAGATTCCCATAAGCCCGTCCTTCTCCAGCTTTATTCCCCACCTCTTTTGAAATTTGTAGGTCACGCTCATGGTACTCGATTGCCTTATGAAAATCGCCTAAGCTGTGATAGGCATTGCCAAGATTTCCATAAGCCCCTCCTTCTCCAACTTTATTCCCCACCTCTTTTGAAATTTGTAGGTCACACTCATGGTACTCGATTGCCTTATGAAAATCGCCTAAGCTCTGATAGGCATTGCCAAGATTTCCATAAGCCCCTCCTTCTCCAGCTTTATCCCCCACTTCTTTTGCAATTTGTAGGTGACATTCATGGTACTCGATTGCCTTATGAAAATCGCCTAATCTGCGATAGGCATTGCCAAGATTTCCATGAGCCCCTCCTTCTCCAGCTTTATCCCCCACTTCTTTTGCAATTTGTAGGTGACACTCATGGAACGCGATTGCCTTATGAAAATCGCCTAATCTGCGATAGGCACTGCCAAGATTTCCATAAGCCCGTCCTTCTCCAGCTTTATCCCCCACTTCTTTTGCAATTTGTAGGTGACACTCATGGTACTCGATTGCCTTATGAAAATCGCTTATCCTGTGATAGGCAATGCCAAGATTTCCATAAGCCCGTCCTTCTCCAGCTTTATCTCCCACTTCTTTTGCAATTTGTAGGTCACGCTCATGGTACTCGATTGCCTTATGAAAATCGCATAGGTTATTATAGGCAATGCCAAGATTCCCAAAAGCTTGTCCTTCGCCAGCTTTGTCGTTCGCCTTTAACTTTCTGGTACTTGGCAAATTGTCGCCTATCCACCAATATGAAAAAAAAATACTTTTTTCAGAGGAAAATAGAATTAATATAGCGATCATTAACGGACAAAAAGTTTCTTTTCTCATTTGAAATTAAGATTTTCATTTGCTTTCAACTTTCCAATTTGAATTCTATTCAAATATCCCTACAATCAAATGTACAATTTTTTTTTATTCAACCAATGGTTTAATAGGAAACTTAAGAAATGTGTTTGTAGCTCGATAAATTGTACTGAGTCTGAACCCGGATGAACCTTATTGCAAAAGCTTTTCCAGTCCTTACCCAAGATTTATCCCGAAAATATGGAAAATAAAACCAGATGATCTTATCGGGATATCCTTCTCTTCAAGTTGTCTTAAGGCTGGTCTACATTAGCAACGGAATCGCAGTCCCAGTCGGAGTGAAAACTAAAAGTCAGTGTCATGAGCGGAGTCATAAGCTCAACAGAACCAAAGAGCAGGATCAGAGTCGGAAAAATGAGAATGGTTTCGTCCGATTCCGCTTTGAACCGTGAAAAGTCAATTGTTGGAGTTGAAGACAGAAGTGGAAGATCAAACATGTTTGATTTCAACTTGATCGTACTGCTCTGCATTTCTCAATAACGACTTCGACTCCGTTGTAGATGAAGACCAGCCTTTAGGTTATGCCTTATTATCGGCCGTTAAGCTATGCTCATGGGAGACTTATATTGAAGTGAAAAACTTATATTAAAATCGCCCGTCATAGTTTGAGGATCATTCTTACGAAATGTCTCCCCCCCTCCTACATTCCACAGAGCACCATAACCTAAACAAACATATCCTAACATAGGTCTCAATAGACCCGAAGGCCTTAAATAGGTTTAAATGATGAAGGCAGTGAGAAACAGAAGGCGGTCAGGTCATCGTGGAGGTGCAACACTTGGATCGTTTTCCTTGGAATACTGCACGAACGCAACTTCTGACCTGGGAATAGGTTCATTTATCTTCCATCCCATTCACATCAACAAAACATGTTCAGTTAAACTTTACTTTATCTAATTCGTTGCAAACGGATATACGTAAAAAAAATTAAACAAATGAATTCAAATTTAATCTTTATAAAAAGATGAGTATTTCAAGTATTTTCAATTCCTCCGCCCTTATAAAAGACTAAAAGCATTCGTTTAAATGTGTGAAATGAATTCATATTTTTAGTTTCCGTTGACAATTCGTTCAAGCGGGGATAGACCCAGAGTAAAAGAAATATTTTAAAAAGTTTTTACCGATGCATCCGGCTGGTGACCATAAGATTCATGTTTCCATTTCGAAAATTACAGATTTAAGTTCATTTCACAAATTACAGATTTTCATTTCATTTCGTTTCGCAAACTATAGTGTGCCCCCGCTACGAATCATCAAGACATAAAACAACGGTTAAATGATGACATCACAACAACTAAGGTAAGGCTGCCTGCGGACGCCGGACGAGAGCTCTGGATTGTTAGAAAAGTGATACCTCCGGGCAATCAAAACTTTTGGTACTAGGAATTTGCCTTCACTTGTTTGTAATGTCTCCTTTAACAGTTTTTACAGTCTTTGGCAGAAGATGCTTGCTGGATCTGCCTCATTTCTACAGCTTTCTTGTTTAAATCAAACAGTTTTGTTTTTTTTCTCCTATTCCGCCATTACTTATCTGAATGCCTCTCTCCCACAAATAATTTTTCATTCTCCCACGCTGAATTTTCGAGAAACTTCACCATAGCACTTATTTGATCTTAATTCTTTCAGGTTAATTTCTACCTTCAGAGGCCAGAAAAGTCGTTTTTTTCTTTTATTTGACTTAACTGACTTCAAACATTGTACCTAACGTTTCCGAGAAAAAAGGTTTTCAAATCTCCAAAAGCACCCGAGTTATTTAGGAAAAGGTAATTTGGAATAAAAGTTAATGAATCAGGAAGGTGTTATAATCTCGTACCTGGGCGACTCTCCTAAGAGAATTTTCACGGCAATCGCTCATCTCTTTTTCATTTTATTTGCACATTTTGTTTACATCGCGCACTTAACAAAATTCACAGAAGAAAGCTAATTGCTTATGGAAAAATCTTTGCTCATGGAAATATCAAAAGCAGAAGAAAATCCCTGGTTAAAAAAAAAAGAAACAGAAAAACAGGCCCTAAGAGGAAATAAAGAGTACCATTCTGTCAAGAAAAGAAAAAAAATATTCAGTGAAAGCGACTGGTAGTGGCGAAGCTCCACGCTAGCGTCCAGATCTTGAACAAAAGTGTCGCGTCAAAACAAAATCTGCCATACATAAATTTCAAATCGAGGTTTCCAACTACTCATGCAAGTAACCGGCCTTGATACATTCACATTAACAGTCGCTTTGAATCGTAATTTTGAAAGCTGTCTATCGATTTGTTGTCTTGGTTCTCAGCACAATTTTCGGTTTTTCCATTTTAGCGTGGGGCATTTTTTTGGCCTTTGAGAACTTTGCCCATTCTTGTGCCACCCTCCTCAATGCTCAAATGAAGGTATTTAGTGACCGATTTTCGTCATATTTCGCCGCAACATTCCAGGAATACTGAAAAATGAAACTGTGTCGGAAAATTTTGATATGTGAAGTATTTGTCCAGTGGCGTCCATTTACGCAACACGCCTCGCGTATTTTTAGCTGCTCCGACTTAATATGCCGTTATCTGGACAACCAATCAGAATATCGAAAAGGGCCGACAAAGTTTTTTTGATTGATACCTTGTGAACAAGACTGTGCACTCATGTTGCTAAGCGTCGAAAAAACCTGGAACAGATCACGAATCGGATCACGGATCGGATCACAGAGCACAGATCGGATCATGTTAATTGACACTCGAAATTTTGCGTGCAAAGCCAAAATAAAGCCTGCGTGACGTAATGGAGTGCAGACCCCACTGGGAGGTTTTTTTTTTTGTCCCAAAACCCCATGTAGTTACTTTCACGGCTGTGTTCAAAGAGGAGTGTTGTGTAGTGCTACCATGGACGAAGGCAAGCGAGAGGTACGTATCCTTCATGAGACAGTTATTATTTTTTTTTTTTTCATATCATCTCACATGCTACTTTTCCTTTATTGTATATCATTTAGCACAAGCCAGAGAAGAGGCAAATAACGAGGTGAGGAGTAGGATTGTTTTAGATAAGACTACCTGTTAGAGACTGCACGATTAGTTAATTGTTCTTAATTTGATTGACATTTACAAGCGATTTCGTTTACATGGCGTTGATCCATAGGATTAGCGCTGTTCTTTTGTTTCGCTCCATTTTCGGCGAACCATCGAGTTTGAATTTGAGTTAGAATCAAGTTGGACTTCGAGTTAAACTCTGATTTGGATTACGAGTTTAACTTCGAGTTGATCTTCTTTTTTACGAAAAAAAATACCTCTTAGAGCCGAAGGAATAATTATTTGTCCCCGATCAGGGCGTTACTAAAATTAACCTTACGCCATGGAAACTCAAAGATCAGACCACCGAGAAACTTTAGACCCTTCATTTCCTCTTTGTGCGATTTCAAATTTAGTGTGCTCAACGATTTAAAGCGCGATATACAGTATGGCTATTATTTACATCTTTTCCGTGCGAGTTAGCTTCGGTATATTCTCGAAGAAAGAAATGAGGATCACCCGCCAGTCCAAATTCGCTGACGGATTTGAACCACCCTCTGCGGATTTGGACCCCCAGCAAAACTGACTGAAAACATTATCCTTAACGTTCTAGTAGAAATTGATAAGACTTAACGTTCCAGTACATACTAAAGTACGTTTTTAATTCCAAAATTGCGCATTGATGTTACCTTGTTCTTAGCATCCCGTCACGACTTAGGATTCTCGTGAACCCGAACAAATAGAAACGAGCTATGAAACTTGAGAACGTCTGATTTTTCGTAATGCTATTGAAAAAGGTGTGAAACATTGAATGATAGATATGCAAGTATGAAACGTGTGAAAGCTTTATTTATCTTCACATCAGTGGAATCCCGATTGCTCGGCTGCTCGATTTGTTTAGACACTGTTGAATGCTATTAAATTAGAAAATCAGACTGAGTTAGTATTGTGACTGGACGCAAAAGTCTTCACTATTGTTATGACTTTTCGTGTCAATGTTGATTCGCATCAGAAGATGCAAGGATTTATTGCAACAATTTCAGCAGTTCGAATGAAGTAGTTTGCTCGCGTTTAGTTGTTGAGTAAACTGTACGACTCGCTATAAATAAATGCGGTAAAATTGGAGCGAAATGGCTGTTCTTCTTTATCTTTATTGACAAATGCTGTGTTGTGTCGGAGAAGAACATTGATAACCAGAATTGCAATAGAATTAGTTACCAAATATGATACAAATGATGCTTAAAAGGAGCGTTTGGTAGAGGGGTCCGAATCTGCGAAGCGGTGTCCAAATCCGTTTTGACTCAGGCTTTCCTTGTTTTGTGCTTTGGAAGTCTCTGTGATAGTCTTACAGAAAGAAATCGATAGAAAGTGTGGTTTATTGCTTAAATATCAGCATTTACCTATGTAATGTGGGCGATAAAATTAAAATCCATTTATTCGAACTATTTTCATAAAACTCGAAATGTAACTCGAAGTTCAACTTGAAATCCAACTCAAAGTTTAACTTAAACTCGAACTCGAATCCAAACTCAAGCATACCACAATCCCATAAGTTAAAATGTCCCTCGACGGGCGGCACATCCCTACCAAGAAATCTGAGTAAGCACGCAACAAGCATACAGATAATGGCAACTGATTACTAATCCATGTCTTGACCATTTAACCGAAACTTCCCCTCACATTCTCCAGCTTTAGTTATTTTAAAATGCTGTATCAATTCTTCTTTCATTTTATTTCTTGGCAGCATTAAAAAGTTCAGAGCCAAATTCTCGAAAGAGGTACCAGATTAGATGAAACTCCGGATTTTTAAGAAAGGGAAAATCACGGAGAGCAATACATCTGCGTTTCTCCTTTCGTATTCTT